ACCTCCCTGGGCCTAGCTGTGTCCTGTGTGCCTCTGCTTGGTGCTCTGCACGGAGTGCAGTCTCCTGGTCTAACACTTGTTATATTTCAGCATAGGCTGTTGGTGAGGTGTCTGTCTTCCCTTCCTAAGATGTGCCTTGACAGCAGAAGCCATGTTTTATTGATCTTTTCATGCCCGGGCCTAGTGCGCTACAATGCTTAAAACCAAATAAGTGGGCGATCGGTGTTTGTTGAGTAATTGATTGCCGAGTGTTTAACTTGCAAGCCCAAGCCTACTGTTAGGTAAATAATTCAAATGTCAGCTCATCAACAGGTCTTCCACCACGGTCGTTCTTTACTCTCTTAACAGTTTTATTTTTACTCATACTGTGTATCGCTACCTGAAATTATATTTTTAAACTTTTATTTGTTTATTGTTTGTCTCCCCACACTAGAATGTGAACTTCATGAAGGCAGTGATTTTTTTTTTTTTAAGACTTTTACTATTTTAGAGCAGCTTTAGGTTCACAGTAAGATTAAGGGGAAAGTACAGAGATTTCCCGTATACCCCCTAAGGCAGGGTTTTTTATTCACTTTTGTGGTCCTAGCTTATATTATGCCTTACATATGGCAAGTGGTAGGCTCTCAGTAAATTCTTATTATTGAAACATAGTAATATCATAAATGCAATCACCTTTCGAGGTGGTATTTTCATTGGTTATGTCTACAAAATTGATTAATATTCATTTATGCAAATCCCCAGGCTCAGCTATTGAATTGAGCTTTCCTTAGCTAGCCACAGGCCTTTCTGTTTTTATGAACATCATTTTGTTTTGAACCTTTGGACCTATGTGCCAACATTGCTCTTGATACGTTGAACAGCCACAATTGATACACAATTTCTATTTTGAGCAAAGTCTGAGGACTGGGAAGTTGGAACCCACAGCTCAAGAGCTGGGACTCCTGTTGGAGTGGTTTCAGATATTCTGTTCCAACTGATTTTTCAGTAATATAATTTCCCTTATCCTCTTACAGAAGAGGTTTTCTGACATCTAGGTGCCTATTTCTTAAATGCCTGAATGCCTGAAGGTGAAGGATGTGAGCTAAGCTACCGACAGACTTCTTGCTGCTGTGGCCATTACAGCAGCTTTCTTTCCAGTCTTTAGTTTGCCAGCCCTGGCATTGACACCTAAAGGGGCGTTTTTCAGACATCCAAGACACAAAATTTGGAGGCCCTTTCTGGATGTGACGCTTTGTCATGGGGCAGACTTTTTCTTTCTGTTTTGCATTTCTACTGCATTTTAAATGTTTGTGTAACTGGTAGGTTGGTCTGAATTGTATTTAAATATTTAGAAACTTTTGTACACTAGTGGGAGGAGGTGGGGGAGGGAGTTAGGGGATGTGTATACTTTACTGCAGAGTAATACTTTGTTTATTGACTTTATATCTTGGCAGCAACTGTTCCTACCACTATAACATGGATATATGGATATATTTTCCTCCCCAAAGTACTTTTCTGATTGTAATCTCCTATAACTATCCATTTATTCTCTCCATAAAATTTCAGAAGGTCAATTTCCTCCAGGTTAATTTCTGCATAATTTGTTAAAAATTACTTTATTCCTGAAGTCGTCGGAAGGTGACTCTTCCAAGTACAGGGCTTTAAAAAGATAAATTTAGGGGTCAGCCCTGTGGCCGAGTGGTTAAGTTCATGCCCTCCACTTAAGCAGCCTGGAGTTCGCCGGTTCAGATCCTGGGCGTGGACCTATACACCGCTCATCAAGCCATGCTGTGACAGCATCCCACGTAGAAGAACTAGATTGACTTACAGCTAGGATATACAAGTATGTACTGGGGCTTTGGGGAGGAATGAAAAAAGAGGAAGATTGGCAACAGATGTTAGATCAGGGCCAATCTTCCTCACCAAAAAAAAGCACACCTTTAAAAAGATAAATTTAGGGGCCGGTCTGGTGGTGCAGTGGTTAAGTTCGCATGTTCTGCTTCTCAACAGCCCAGGGTTCACTCATCAAGCCGTGCTGTGGTAGGCGTCCCATGTATAAAGTAGAGGAAAATGGGCATGGATGTTAGCTCAAGGCCAGTCTTCCTCAGCAAAAAGAGGAGGATTGGCAGTAGTTAGCTCAGGGCTAATTTTCCTTAAAAAAGATAAATTTTGTTGACCTCTTTGTTCTCCTACAAAATAGAATTTCAGTGGCCTAGATGGCTTGCATAATTTATAAATGATAGCAAATTATTAGCATTTATGGCAATGTTTAGTCTGGTTCTGTAAGACGTAATTCTCACTATTAATTTTTCAGTGATATAATCCTTGAGTATCTCCAGAGATTCAAAAAAAAGTTTTTAATCTATCTATCATATAGCATGCTTAAATAAGCATGCAATGTTGTCTAAAACAAATAAAGATTACAAACCAGAAAATCAATAACCATTGTAATATATGGGCAACTAAAGTCAATACAATCAAACAATGAAAGGATATTTACATCTACGTAGAAAAAAAAAACAGAATAGAAAATAAAAAGAAATCATAGCCTTGACATGTTATATAAATAATGATTTTTTTCCCTGTCTTTCTAATTATTTTAAAAGTTACAGAAGTAATATAAGCTTCTTGTAAAACGTCAAGCCACTTGTATACCAATGTTCGTAGCAGCATTATTCATAGTAGGTCAAAAAGTAGAAACCAGACAAACGTCCACCAACTGGTGAATGGATAAACAGAATGTGGTATAGCCATACAATGGAATGTTGTTGAGCAGTAAAAAGGAATGAAGTGCCGATGCCTGCTATGCCATGGATGAGCCTCAGGACCATTATACTAAAAGAAAGAAGTCAGTCATAAAAGATCTCACATTGTATGATTCCATTTCTATGAAATGTCCAGAGTAGGCAAATCCACAGTGACAGAAAGTAGATTAGCAGTTGCCAGAGGATGGGGGAGGAGAAAAGAAGAAACGGTTGTTAACGGGCACAGTTTCTTTTTGGGGTGATAAAATGTTCTGGAATTAGACAATGGTAATAGTTGTACAACTTCGTTAAATATACTAAAATCCACTGAATTGTTCCTTTAAACGTGTGAATTTTATGGTATGTGAATTATATCAATTAAAAAAAAACGATGTTGAGAAAAAAATGGTTATTTATATCCTCCCCTTCCTGAGTGAGAACTAGCAGGTTTTTACTTTTCCCTGCTTCGCCCGCCTGCCTGGTTTTGTCATTGTTATTCCAGGGCTATCGCAGATTGTCGCACAGGTTCTAAGGCTGCCCAAGGGTGCCGGCCAAGAGCACAAGGAAAGTCTGAAACCCTAGCCATGCACTCATGCTACTGGGAAGAAGGGCTGACTTCTCCTAATTCACACAAACGTGCCTTATGGACCAGTCTGGCCTTAATCTTTTTAAAGGGCTTTTGGGGCACGGGAGGTTGGTAAATACATGTATTTAGTCTACTATCTTGGGATAAGAGTCAAGCCCTTCATTTTACTATACTGCTATAACGGATTTATTAGAATGAATTATTCTCCATATGGGAACACTCTTTGGCCCTCTCTTGCAAGTTGACTTGAAAATTATCCAATTGATCATACAGCACGTTTCTAGTTTAAACGTGTGTTATTTAGTTCCTTTAATTCTGCCTTTTTTATTTAAAAAGGATTCAATGTCCTGTTCAACTCTACACTAAGATTCTCTAATATGGCTTTATATTTGATGTCACCACAATACCACAACTACCAAGAGGATTTCCTCGTACTCACTGGTTCTAACAATGCAACTTTTCTGACAGCATTCTTGTAGAGACTTCAAAAGAGCTCAAATAGTAGCATTCTCTCCACTAAATTTAATCAGTGAGTCAACATACACTTGTTGAATTAGTATTATGTTCAAAATAACACTCTATTCCAAACAGGAAGAACCCCCCAATCCTAGTACTTTACATACAAAGTGCTGTGTGCCTGGTACATAGTAGGTACTCAACAAATATTTGTAAATGAACCAATGAAGTAAGAGCAATTTGTTTATGTGTGAAACCTAAAGATTAGGTCCTGGTGGGTAACCATAGAAGTTAATAGGTTCTTCTTTCTACCGACAGGGAAAGAAAGGAAACTACCTGATGTAAAAAATGTGATATAATTAGTGACTACTTCTAAGATAAATCTCAGGATTCTGGCAAACTGACAAGTTTTTGGTTTAGTGTGCAGTATTGGTAGTGTTTTTTTCTTCAGCATTTTTTTGGTTATTGTTGCTACTTTGCCTTCTTGTTTTTGAGAGAAGTATTTACTGTTGACTTTCAAGATGACTCAAAAGTACTTCTATCTAAAAATTGAAAATCAGTGGTTCTCAAGTCTAGCTGCACACCAAACACTTAGTGTTTCGTTTTTGGTTTTTCGTTGATTTGTTTGTTTCTAATCCCAGAAAGGTAGACTCTAGGATTCCTAAAGTAATTAGAACCACTTGGTTGAGCTCATGAATCTTAAATTTAAGAAGCACCCTAGGGGCTGGCCTGGTGGCGCAGCCGTTAAGTTCACATATTCTGCTTCGGCGGCCCGGGGTTCGCTGGTTCAGAGCCAGGGTGCAGAAGAAAAAAAGAAGCAACCTAGGTGATATTTTAAATTTTATTTTTAACTACACAAATTATACATGAACAAATTTTTCTTATAAAAAATGGAAAGATTTCAAATAAAGCCAAATTCTCATCATTATTCTCAGTCTTGCTTCCTTCTTTCCTTTCCTGACTTGGATGCACTTCTTATGCACATTAAAATTTAAGAACCAGCGGCCGGCCCAGTGGCTTAGTGGTTAAGTGTGCACATTCCACTCTGGCGGCCCGGGGTTCATGGGTTTGGATCCTGGGTGTGGACATGGCAGCGCTTAGCACACCATGCTGTGGTAGGCATCCATGTATAAAGTAGAGGAAGATGGGCACAGATGTTAGCTCAGGGCCAGTCTTCCTCAGCAAAAAGAGGAGGATTGGCAGCAAATGTTAGCTCAGGGCCAATCTCCCTCAAAAAAAAAAAAAACAAAAAAAACACTTAAGAACCACCACTATAACAAAAGGTCAGAAGTGGTAAACTGAAGAATTTTGTTAGAACTCAAAATACAAGGCCAGATTTTCAGTGTTGCTCTCTAGCATGTGAATTACAGAATCCAAGTCCCAGTCAAGACAGAAGAATCGGCTTTTCAAGTATTTAAGGGCCATCATTTAAGATGATATCTTACCAAAAGAATCTCTTCCTTCTCACGAAAAAAAAAAAATTAATTCCAATTACTCTCAGTAAGAAATGTGAGCAATGGAAATAGTAAACATATTCAGTATGTGGGGGAAACAGTTGGTATTCAGTAAACAGCAAGTAATTTATTGACTTGGCAAGTCTCCCTTGAACTCCAGCATGCAGTTAACTCTTACTTACCTAGGAACAGATTTACTGTTTTGCAAATTGTTTGTACTGTCACGGAGCCTTGTCTTCATGGTTTTGTTAAATTCTAGGCTAAGAATAGTACGCCTAAGAAAGCAGTAGAATTCATCCAGCTTCGTTCTTGGTTAATGGCGGGATAGTACACACTCACTGTCACATCCTGGTTAAGCACAGCCTCTCTGCCACGCACTGTTCTAGCCTAAAAGACAAAAATCTTGCTTTTAGGGAGCTTGCAGCCCTATAAAGAAGGCAGACCAGTTTAAAAAAAAAAAGTAGAATATAATGGGATAAGTGCTATGAAAGTGGCATTACGTGGTGCCATGGGGTTACGTAGAAAGGGGAGGAATCTAACTCAGGTTGGGGAAGGGGATGGTTAATGGGAAAGTTAACCAAAGGTGTAATACCTGAGCTTACTCTTTGGGATGTATAGAAGGTAGCCACACAGGCATATTTAGGAGGTAGGATCTAAGGCCTTAAAACACACACACACACACACACACACACACACACACACACACACACACACACGGGCTGGCCCCGTGGCTGAGTGGTTAAGTTAGCGCGCTCCGCTGCAGGCGGCCCAGTGTTTCGTTGGTTCGAATCCTGGGCGCGGACATGGCACTGCTCATCAGACCACGCTGAGGCAGCGTCTCACATGCCACAACTAGAAGGACCCACAACGAAGAATATACAACTATGTACCGCAGGGCTTTGGGGAGAAAAAGGAAAAAATTTTAAAAAAATCTTTAAAAAAACCACACACACACACACACACACAGCAGAAACCATTTGCACTAGGGAGCAGAAGTCTAAGCTGACACTCAGGTTTCTGAGTTGAGCACAGAGGGGCTCGGTGGGAGCCATGCTGAGTTTTAGGTGTTTAGGGGGATGTCCAAGTAAAGATACCCATAGGCAATTGGCTGTCTGTTCCTGTAACTTTGGAAAGGGGTCAAAGATGGGAATACAGTGTGGAGTTGTCATTGTTTACCTAGCAGCTGAGCCCATTGCTGTGAATGAGATGACCAGGGAGAGAGCAAGACGGTGAGCAGGCTGAGAAGAAACCTCAGGGGAAAGTGAGCTTTTAAGGGATAGGTGGGATCTGGGAAGGAAAGCTAGAGAAGCAGAGAAAAGAAAGACGAGAATGGCCTGGTATCATGGACGTCGAGGGAAGAGAGCAGATAACACTCTCAGACGGCACAGAGAGGTCAACAGGACCGGCCTGGTACCTTTGGTGAAAGACAAGATGGAGGCAGAAGCCACGTCAGTCAGAAACATTTACTGAACACCTACAATGTACCAGGCATTGTAAGGTGTGGTGCTATTTAATCTTCATTATAGCCCTCTGAGTTAAAGCAGTATTATTATTAAGATTGTCATCTCCATATTACTGATGAGTAAACTGAGGCACAGAAAGGCCTGGACCAGAGTCATATAACTAGTTTGCAACAGACATAAGATAACTCTACCTAACTCCTGAGTCCAGTCTCTGGTTACCAATTGTAGTGAAAAAGTGGAGATAACGAATGCAGATGGATCTTCAGAGACGTTTGTCAGTGAAGGAAAGAGGGTAGATTTTACAAAGGCGACTAAACAACTAAACAACGTGACTAAACAACGTGGAGTTTTTTGTTTTTAAGATGAGAGAGGTTTGCACATGATTTTAAGCTAAGGAGAAAGAGCCAGAGAAAAGAAAGAAAGAGAAGTCTCATGAATGAAGGAGTCGATGCTTTTCTAGCCATCCTTCTATTTCTGTCTGGATCAGAATATATCTGGAAAGAAGCTGTCAGTTTGAATAACTGAAGCTATTTGGGTACTGAATAAGTATGTTTTATGAAAGATATCCCCTGCAATAAATGTCCATCCAGTCTTTTCTCACTTGGGAATCCATTAATATAATTAATATAATTCATGATGAAGTACACTGAATTTCTTGTTCAACTGCAATTCACAGCAGCACTTGCCATATCAAACTAGGTCATATCTACGTTCAAGGCGAATATTAACAGTGAGGGATAGGCTCCATTTACGCTCTTCCTTCCTATGTTCACATTAGAAAAGCTAATACCTTTCTTCCTTTCACCGGTTGCTGTGCTCCAGTGAAGTGCCTGGAGTTCTTTCACTTGCAGCAGAAAAAGCGACTGTTGCAGATCTCTGAGCTGACCCTGTTTTGGGACCAGAAATGATTACTTTCAGTTCTCCCAAATCTTACTATAAAAAAATACATGCCAAGAGTAGTTAGGCTTTATTTAAGTTGAGCTTCTAGTGATGATACTAAAAAGGGCGATAAAATCCAATGTTTTTTGTTTATAAAGGACTTTCAATGAACTCCATAACTGGAGCTCTTTGTCAATTCCTCTACGAAAGTTTACAGTTTCGTAGCTCTGGTGAAGTAGTGGCTTGTAAATCATACTCCAGGTCATGACTTTGTACACTCAAGACAGATATCCTTAGGACCTACTATGCCAAGGCCCTAATGCCAGGGCTGTGGGGCAATGCAGAGAACAATGCATACATCTTCTTCTAGGAGCTTTCAATTTTCCTAGAAGAGATTAGATGGTTACAGAAACGTCTAGAATTCAGAGTAATAAGGGGCCAATATAAATGGTGATATGGTGTTAGGTCACCTTAATTTTTTCCATTTAAAAATAATTAACAACAGTAATGCATGAATTTATTTTTGCTGAAGGGAATACAGAAATATCTAGAATAAGTTGTAAAAGTTCCCTTTTACTACCTCCCTACTTCCACTTCCCTTCTCAGACTGCGACGTTTCTTGCTAGTTTCTTTTCCGTGGATTCTCCTGCATGTAGAAGAGCAAATGTACTTTAGCGTACACACTTTTATAGTTTTAGTATATAGTTTTTTTAGCATAAATTATTCGAAATGCATTTTTCTGGGAATTTTTCACTTAATAAGGTCTTTTCATGTCAGTACATATAGATAATTCTTTTTAAGTCAGTATAGTATTACTACAGAATACATTTTTAAACGTATCTTACAAAAGATAGTGAAATAAAATGACTAAGTTCTAAAAGTTTGATTGGCAAACAGTCGTGATTATATTAAATTACTTCCATGCTTAATTACTTGTTTGAGAAGACCAAGCCTCAAAGAAACTTTCTCTTACTTTTTTAATTGTTTAAAAACATAGATTTAATGCACTATTTTGAAATGTTTTGCTTAAAACCAAGCGTTCTTAAAAAGAATACTTAAGTAGAAAATACTGGAATACTACCTAACAAACATATATTATTGAATGCTGTGCAGTCCATGAGGCAAAAATAGAATGAAATAAAAGAAAAAGGCTCTTAACTATCTAAGGATAATGGGAATTCTTAGGTGTCTAAGGACAATGGGGGTTCTTTTTAAAATTTCAGTTCTTTTCTCATCATTGTTAAAATAACTAAAATATTTTTAAAAAGCAAAATGCCATCTATGTCTTGTTGAAAAATATACTTGTAAATACACATATATAGAAAAGTGCCTAGAGAAGATAAGTTCATGTTTTAACAGTGGTTATCTCTGAGTGGTGGGTTGTATTCAAGGTGATTCTTATTCTTTACCTTTTCCAAACTTTCCAATTTTAAAAATAATGAGTACATATTAGTTTTTTTAATTAGAAAAAATTGAAGCAATGAAATGAATTAGTAATAAATGAACTGAATGACTATGTATCTAGATTTGAGAAAAAGAACTGTGCCCTTTTTATCTTTATATTTCTCTATATTAATTTTACCTGAGTAGCTGTCAAATTGAAAAAAATTTTTAAGACCAAAAAATAACATTGGACCATTAAGCGCAATGTATAAAATTATAACCTTGGGTCCAGTAACCTTAAAAATAGACTTGTAATGCGTAAGTAAACACAACATCCGAAGTAATTTATTCTAGCACTATTAGGCCCGCACACAAAACACATTCTTATTTACTAATAAGTTAAATCTCTTTTGTTAAATAATATTTTTTATTTATAATTAAAAAAATTTAGTTTTCAAAAAAGCTTATTCTTGTCATTTCCAAAAAAAGAGAGGGGAAAGGAGAGAGGAAGCTGTGCCTGCTGGGAAAGTTGCAACATTCAGTTCATAAGTCCTTTTTGCTTTAGATATTTTTTTCAACTACTTCTCTTACATAAGAGTCCTGTAATATCTCCATAGGGAGAAATAACACAAGGCTACATTATGCCTTTTTAATTTTTCCTCCAGATAGTGTTTACAAATCAACATGTAGGAATGACTCCATATTTAAAGTGATTAGCCAACTTTGGTGTCCATTTGCCATTAAGGACAATTGGTAATTTTAACAATCAATGAGGGTTTATTTTAGGAGAAAACTTACTGAAATTTTCAGGAAGTAACCTTTTTGTTCTCAAACAGCTGTCATTGAACACCATTCTATCTACAACAATTATAATTATCTTTGGTGACTTTTAGCATTTGGCATCGCTCCATTATTGTTCAGTTAAATATTTTTCAAGTTTGCTAGGACTTTTGCCCACTGTGTGCTTACGGCCCTTTGTTGTCAATATGTATCTTAGAATTCACCTTTGTGACATTACTTTTTTGTATTGTGGGAGAGTGTAATTTCTGAACTGAATTGCCTGAAAATCAAGTAATATTTATTAGGAAATTGCAGTACATGTCTACAAGCTACTTACAAAAATATGCTTACGATTTATTCCATTATATTTGGCAATAGATATTCCCTTCTCTCTTTTTTTAGATCCTTGCAAAAAATTCCCAGTTTAAAGAATTAGCTAACGTTTAGTGGACAGAAAGAGCAAAGGGCAACATGTGCTGTCATTTTGATAAATTGAATTGAAAATTGTGAAAAAATTTCTAAGTTTAAGTCAGCCAGACCATCAGTGCAGGGGATTGATTGTCAAAAACCAAACCAAACCAAACCAAAACAAACACAGAACGATTTTTCATGCCAACGGAAGTCACAAACATGTTAGTTTCGCAGCCATCCAAAATGAGTACTGTCTAGAATAAAATAACAAACCTGAGGTCCTGTAACACACCATTCAATTTAAATCTTAAAGAAGACTTCGTGTGTGTTTGTTTAATTTTGAAAGGAAGCAAATATTTGTCTTCAGAAATGATTAAGTATTGAAATACAATAGCTTATATAATAGCCAACTCCATCTATAAGAAAATATAATGATATAATATTAAAGGCCTTGATCGCTATTACTTTGTT